ATAATGCGCACTATTACGCGCTAGGACCGTTTAGCCCAGCTCGTCAGTGCCACAACCTGATCTTTCCTCTTAGTAGGCTGCCCGAATTTCGCTTGTCTTGAATTAATCATCAAATTCAGCAACTGGTTACAGACCCCTCAGATGCAATATTACGGGATCAGTAACTCCTTCTTGAGCTGAAAACCCTACTTTCTTAAGCAACGAAAATTAATGGTCAAGCTCCAAAGTTCCATATCTGACCCCATACAATTCGAGTCTGGTGTGCTCCGGGGCTCGGTTCTAGGTCCACGATAGTTGTTGCTATTCACCAGTGACCTTGTACAGAAAATCGCTTCAAGTGTCCTGCTGTTTTCTGGTGATATCAAGAGATGGCACCAATTTCAGGCGGATACTAATCTGAATTCACTTCAACATTATACATGAGTAGTCAACCCAAATCTGCTAAAATTCAACGTAGAGAAATTTAAGTACTCTCCACGCGAACTCAGAGTACCCATGTTTGCAGGCTAAGAACGCAAGCACTGCACAAATCGTGCGTCGAAGGCGACCAGGATCTGATTGTTCAGGATAACTTGGTCTGTGTCAAACAATCCGCTTAATTCCGTTTTGCATGCAAAATTTTCGGAAGAGCGTTGAAGTAAACTGGGCTCCGTTGTCTCCAACCAACTTCTCCGGGGTGCCAAAACATTGGAACAGTTTGTTCAGCTCATCTTTAGTGTGATGGGCTGTGGGATTTTGCATCGGAATCACGTCGAGCCATTTTGTGTAGGAATCAAAAAAATCAAATAAGATTGTCCGTTGATTTTTCCCGCAGAATTCAAGTGGATTCTCTGCCAGAGTTTCTTCAACTCGGGATAAGGGTGCGAGGAACATTACGGAGGTGCCTCGTTCTCCAAACATTAGATAACTGTCAGTGGCCGAAAGGGATCCGCGTCGAGTAAAGCAAGTTTGTAACTTATTCGAACTGCTGACATTAGGCCAACTGAACTGCACAAACCCTATCACTTTCAGCAAGAAATCGGCTTAAGGCGTCTCTGCAGGAATCATGTGCGACGTTGCTGGCAACTCCCTTACACTGTCAAGCAGGATGCGCTGAAAATCCGACTAGAATTTGACAGATGCAATCACGCAGACATCGTTTTCCTTCAAGTGGGAACTGAGGAGAAGTGATAGCGCGTCAGCTTGGCCGTGTAGTTGTGTAGACAGGTATTGTATACTGAAATGGTAAGCAAGCAGTACGGTTGCCCATCTCTATAACCGATTTGCTGTGAAAACATGAATACACTTCTAGATCCACATATCGGGAGTAGAGGTTTGTGATCCGTGAACAGTTTGAAATTTCTACAGTATAGCATCTTATGAAACCATTTCACTGCGAAAACAATCGCCAGCGCTTCCTTCGCAATCTGGCTGTAACTTTTCTCCGCACTGTCAGCGATCGTGCTGCATGCACAATGACCATCTCTTCTCCTCCTGGAAACACGTGAGAAACGACCACGCCTATCACATAATTAGGAGTGAGGAGCCGAAGCAACAACAATCTCAAAGTTTTGGTTGAAGTGGGTCAAAAGTAAATCAGAACTGAGCTCTGCTTTAACTATATCCAAGCATTGTTGGTACTCCTTTGTCCTTCGCCATTCTTTCCCTTTCATCAGCAACTCGTTCAGAGGACCTCTTGTCAGATGTTGACCTGACGGGAAGGCATTATAATGAATTATAAGACCCACAAGTGAAGAAAATTCCGCAACATCCCTTGGTGGTGGAATTTGCTTGACGGCTTCTATATTAGTGGGATCCGGAAGTCGGCCATGTATATCAATGACGAACCCGAGAAACGTGACATTTTCCATCAAGAAATTGCATTTTTCCACTCGTAACCTGAAGCCAGCTGCTTCTAGACGAGTGAGCACTTTCTCTAACGTGACCGGCAATGCTTTTGGGTCAGACGCCATAACCAATGCGTCATCCATGTATAATGCGACCCTAGGGATTTGGTTCTGCAGCTTGTCTATGAGTTGCTGAAAAATGGCGGGAGTATTTTTCACTCCAAATGGCAACCGAGTGTACTGGATAGACCCAGATGCGTGTTGACCCTTAGTTGTGTTCTGCAGTTCTCGGCTACTGGAATATTTAAGTAAGCATCAGCTAGATCGAGTTGTGCAAACCATTTTCTACCGTAAAGCTTGGTGGATAGACCTTCAGGTGTAGGCAAAGGGTACTGGTGATTCTCCAACATGGAATTTAATCCGGTTGAAAAGTCAGCACAAATACGTACCATGCCGTTTCTTTTATTTATCGCAACGATGGGTGTCGCCCATTCTGAGTAATGTACGCGCTCGATTATGCCTTCCGACTGCAACCGATTTAACTCAGACTCCAATATTGGTTGCGTTGCTTACGGCACTGGACGTTTTGGTCTATAAACTGGTTAGGCGTCTGGTTTACGGTACAGCTCAGCTCTGGCTATCGGGCAGCATCCAAGACCGGGTTGGAACAAACTTTCGTTCCTTCGCTTCAGTTCTGCAACTTGACTATAAATTTCGAGGCTCATATTCTGCGTCTCCGCGGGTTTCTCGACTTGTAGTTTCTGGCATATACTGTTAACTGACTGGTCAAGCAATTTCAATTCCTTCATTCAATCGAGACCCAGCAAATTCCATCCTGGTTGCTCTGTCACAAAACAAGTTGTAAGAAACTGACCTGACGATGCAACACTCCGAGAAGTTTCAAATAACGCCAGGTGCGTTTCGTGCTGCTGGGTTCGTGTGGACAAGCGATGGTCGTCCCAGCATACACTATGTGTTTCGACAAATCAAAATGATGTCTGACGCAGTATCCAGCTGCAGCTTAACTTCTTTTGCATGGATCATCAACATTGTAAGTTTAAGCTCGCTGAAACCGTCAACCTTGAAAGCCGCGGTCACAGTTTGGCCTCGTCGTGGCATCGGAAGCGCAACGGGATTCAACGCGGTATTCCGCTCATTGTTGGTCGCTTCGCAAGACAACACAACTCTTTGTGTCCTCGCCTACCATAAGGAATACAAATATGATTTCGGAACGGGCAGTTTCAACCAAAGTGCTCTTCCCTGCAAAACCACTAGCAGAAGGGGGTTTAGAATGTGATGAACTCACATGAACCGATTCCATCTGAGGACTTCGGCCGACCCCGCAAATGATGTCTTGGCTACTCTGGATGGATGAATGTTTGATCATCGCAGCACCATGCCTCAAGTTCATCAACCGTTAGCGTTCGTTCGTTACTTCCTGCCGTTTGATCTCGGGATTTTGTTCAATTCTGCTCAGCACTCTTGTTCGGTCATCCGCACCTTTGGTTGTTTGAAGACCATACACATAAATAAGGCACTTGTACTGATCAGCTGTCATCTGGTGAAACACCGACCGTTCACACTCACGATTTACGTGACTCGAGTAAGTAACCCAGTCTTCATCGTCTCGCTTGGTCATTGTCAGGCACTTGTATCAGATATTGAATAATGGCGACTGCTCTCCAAATATCTGGAACAAACTAGCAAGCAATTCATTGAATGTCAAATCCGTGAACTTTTTCGTAAAGATGAAATTCATAAATTTTTCATGCTCGGCCGAACCTAATTTCCGCAGTATGAGGCGAACTCTATTGTTCTCTGAAGCACCGGCTAAATCAACGCGAAACAGGTCTTCGTATTTATGGAACCATGATTCAAAGGTAATACCGGTATCGGCCTTGTAACGGAACTCACCAACTTGCAGGATCAAGGTTTCTGCTGAGAGGCAAAGTTCACTTATTTCCACTACCGAGTCTGCTGTAGTGACAAATTCTTGGTCAGCGTTTCGGTCAACTTGGCCTGTGCTTCCTCAAACTACGCCTGCTCTTGCTGCAAAAGATTCTGCCATTGTTCAAAACTGACTGATATCTTCAGGTTCTTCTGACTTTTGTCGCCACTCTTGTGAAACAGCCTTCGTACTGCTACAGTGCTGTTATTCTGCGCCTGCGAGACTACGAACGCCTGATTGTTCAGTCACGCGCCCAACCAACCGACGGAATACAGAAGGCCAAGGCTCGGTAACAGGTAGTCTACTCTACACGATAGTTCAGTTCCATTTATTAACGAACGAAACATATTAATGTTGGAAGCGCTTGACTCTCAGCCACGGTGAGTTAATTCAGTCGCACGGATTATCCAGATTTGGCAGAATGGTTCGCCTCCGTTGACTCGGGCTTGTATTTGGTGGCCAATCAGTTTGCATCCGATTCCCAAATTTGGTAAAACAGTCGAAGATTGTTCCACGCTCGTGCTGGTGATCTTCGCACGCAGTAGACAGCTCACGAGCTGTCCGGTAAGCCTGCGCTCAACCTCGGATCTGGACATTGGCTGCATTTACCTCTCTATCACATATTTCAGACAGCTCTCACACCACATACATGCGTGACTGTAGTGTCTGGCTTGCATATATCAGGAAATTTATCCATTTGGACAGTCTAATTGGTGTATGGATCTGGTTCTACCAATATGTGCCGCGCTTCCCCAGCATACTTTTTTAAGCAGTCTACTTTGTACTTATAAACTACTAATGAACTAACTCGAAAAACGTACGATTCGCAATCTAGTGTGATTCACACAGCAAGTTACCAAAAACGTTAAAGACGTGTAGGGGAAAAATAAAAAATGCAGACGCCGGATAACCGTCATTGCACATTTATCCGTGTTTAAAACATTACGCAATAAACACACGCTTAACTACTGGGTCAGCATGATATTTTCTGTGTAACAGACTGATTTCGTTAGTGACTACTGAATAATTTGATCACTCAACATTTTGTTACGAAGTTGTCGGTGGACTCAGAGAGTCTTTAATGTCTCGGTCTGTGGGTTGTGATTACATAACGTGTGTGTCAGTCAGCATCCTTGATCCGGCATCTCGTAGATCCTAGGGATTCAATAGTTCCCCACATACAAAGTATATTTCCTCAAAGGTGAACTGGGATTATTTATTTTCAGCGTTCAATGTGTACCTAAATCGAAGGCTTCAAACGGAAACAGAATCCGGTGGCCCTTGCAAAGCGGTAAGCGAAACTAACTGATAACCAAATATTGTCAATATCCTGTTACATTCCGCAATACTTGCTCAACTGCTGTCCATGTGGTAGAATCATCTACAGCTAACTGCAAAATCCATATTTTCAACTCAATAGATGGAAGAGCAATCAACCTTGAGCGTCGCGAAGTGTAAGCTCATTAGGTCGGGAACCACAAGACATCTTCAAATTGTGACAAGTGGAATGCAAGATGGTGTGCTGAATGTGATGACTCAACTCATGAAAGATCTTAATGAAGAAAATCCAACATCTTGTACCGCCAACGTAGCACTGCGTGTTAGAAGCAAGGATATTTCCTAACAATAACTTACACCGCGCTGTTCGTTCACTTTTGCTCAACATTTTAAAGCAAACCGACATTTAGTCACTAGACAACATTAGTCACTACATGCAAACACCCACGTTATTAACTGTGCATCAGTAATTTTGCTATTTTGTTTTACATACATTTGAATTAGTAGCATTTTGTTTTATTTTTACGCTGTAACAAACAAGTAACAACTTGTTTCGATAACCATAACCAAGCTCTAGGGAAAACGTACCCAGTAATCGTTCACGCCTCATTGATTCGACTGCATTATAAGACAATTGTAATAAATAGAGTTTACAGGAAAATTCAATATACCGCAAAGCTACATGGATTGACAATGCAACAAAATTGTGTGGAAATGCTTATTACCGACAGACACAAAGTGTGTGCGAGTATAGCAAGGAAACGAAGGATTAAAATACTGGTCGATTTCTGGAACATATATTTGCAGCAAACTTTATTTAGCTCCCGTTGTTATCTGAGGTGTTGGAAAACATGAGTTTAACGGAAGATTATTTCCACATTCTCGTTTAACAATCAAAGTGAAAACTGGGACCTAGGTAGCATTTGCGGCATGTTCCTGAATTGGTTTAGATGTACGACTACCATGAACAGGTGACTAGGTCGTTTCTCAATGATAGCACACTATACAGAACAAAACACTTTATGATTCTTCATGGTTGGCCGCATCCGGTTTCGGATTTGCCTGTCACTGTGGCAAGCCACAGGAAGCCTACGCCTACAGAGGGACCATGGATGGCTTGCGCTGCACCACCCACAGCTCCAACCACACACCCCAAATCCACTGTAAACCCAAAGGAATAAGACCGGGAGGCATGCGGATGGGAACCACGTTTCATCAACGGAGCCGGCCCACACTCCTTCACAGACAAACAAAAGCATGCTGTATTTGGGGAAAGCAAGCGCACACAAGGCGGTGGCTGGAGCGTAGTCCGCTCCACACTGAATGCATGGAACCAATTTTCGAGCCTAACACGGCCACAAGGACCTTGCACCCCGTCCCCTCCATCAACGACCAACTGTGTCCTGGAGCCAGTATGAACGAGGTAGCGGGTAATAGACAGGTAGGCACCCTGTCAACATACACATCAAGCGCAGCCACACCGGGGATATCAAACAATAGCCAAACACTTGAGAGAGAGAGAGAGAGAGGGAAAGCAAATAACTCGATTGATGCATACGGAAACGGTGACTTAAACCTTAAGTTATTGAGCATATGAAATAAGTTTTTTACAAACGAATCCTAGATAAGTTCACTAGGTTCGAAGTATACTATACGGAAATGCCACGAACACAATAATGTTATGGAAGTCGAATACGATTGGCTTAAGCGAGGTGTGCAAGTTAATGGAATAGAGTACAGGTAGACATTTATATGAGAAAGAAAAACATTAAGGCAAAATTGAGAACCCACCACCTGAAATAAAGCGACTTGGTATGCAAGCACGCGGTTAGTAAATCGAATGCAGCGTACCTACAAACGCTGCGATGGTTCTGCCTACGTTCTCTGTAGAACACGTCGTCGCCTCGGTAGTAGTCCGGAGTGGCCTCGCTCATGGCTCACTAGGCCTGCCTGACTAAGGCACTCGCGACCGCATGTTCTACAGCACCATGCGCTTGATGTCGATGGAGTACAATCCATCGGTGCTTGCCGCTTCCGCACTTGCCGCTTCTTGTCTGCATGAATGAGGGCTTTCTCCCACACTTCAGCAACTGCCTTCGTGATTAGATCGCGCTATGCACCACGATCAACCGCCTTCTATTCCCATGATCTGCAATCAAGGTTAGAACGTGTGAGGCTCACTTTAATCATGTCCTGGTAACGTAACTTTGGTTTCCCTACATGTCGCTTCCCAATACTCAGCTGACCGTATAAGAGTTGTTTCGGTATCCGCGTCGAATCCATATGGCTCACATGACCGAGCCATCTCAGGTATGGCAGTAAAAGTATGCCGTCCACTGCATACATCCCACTTCGGCGCAACACTTCCGTGTCTGCAACTCTGGCGCCCCAGCCGATCCGCAAAATTCGTCGCAGATACTGCTGATGGAACCGCTCGAGATATCGCACATCCCGCCGGGACATCTTCCACGTTTCACTGCCGTATAGAAGAACGGACAGTACCATGGATTTGTACATTATCAGCTTTGTGCTAATGGTAAGCTGATGGTTGTTTCACACTCGGTACTCAAGCTTCCCGAATGCTGCCGCTGCCTTCGACACACGAATACGCAGCTCACTGTGTAGCTGCTGATCAGTCGACATCACACTCCCAAGGTAGCTGAAACAGGAGGTGGTTTGCAATATTCCAGCACCAATGCTGTTTCGCGGCAATATTGAAGATTGCACCTCCGGTGAAGGCTAAAAGAGACAGACAGTTTGCTTGTGTTGATGGTGAGTCCGAATTTGGCCGCTGTCGAAGCCAGAGCAACAGTCATGTGCTGCAACTCATCCGCGCTGTGTGAAAACAACGCACACTCGTCAGCAAACAGCAACATACGGATAGTTGTCTCACAGACTAGAGTTCTCGCACCGAAAAGACGAATGTTCAGCAACCCACGGTCAATACGGTGCTCCACACGAACACCGTAAACACAAGCCGCATCAAAAGCACAAGACAACATTGCATGATGATATATATGAAACAGGGCAGGAGCTAAGACACAGCCTTGCTTCACACCAGAGACAACTGCAAAGTCATCCGAGGTCTCTCCACTCAGCTGCACCCTCGCTCGCATACCACTGTGCAGACATTCAGTTAAACTTGCAAAATTACGCGGGCAACCAAACTTAGCCAACACCAGCCACAATGCCTCGCGGTTCACCGTATCAAATGCATTGGTGAAATCAACAAAAAGCGAGTACAATGGCTGATGTCGTTCTCTGCACTTCTCTTGCAACTGACGAGCCGCAAACACCATTTATATATATAGTGCTGCGACCCGAACGGAATCCACATTGCTCTTCCGCCACGTTTGGTTCCACAACCTGACTGACGAGGCGGTTGAGCAGGATTCGGAAAATCACCTTGCCCACACAACTCAGCAAGTTGATGCCACGATAATTCGTGCAACATGGCTTGCTCCCTTTATCCTTGTACAGTGGTAGCACAAGGGCATCCTTCAGCTCAGGAGGCACCTCCTCCTCAATCCACACGCGTTGCACCAAGTGGTGCAGCGCAGTCAACAACGCAAGTCCACCGTGTTTCAACACTTTAGGCGGGATAACGTCGGCTCCGGCACACTTGCCGTTTCGCAGCTGAGCAAGTGCTATCTGGGTCTCATCCAGTGTCGGAGTATCCGCCAGATCCGCCTTCACATCGTGCTGCTTCAGGCCGTTCAATGTAGGCCAGTCGATCTCTGAACGGTTGTTCAAGAGAGTCAAAGTGTTCCCGCCAGATCTGCATTATACCTGCAGTCTGGGCGCAGATAGAGCCTGAACTACCATCGATCAGTGTCCTCAGCGGTTCCAATCTCGGTCCATACACCGCTTTAAAGGAGTCAAAGAAATCCTTGTGTTGGCGGCGTTCGGCGTAGCATTCCATCTGCTTCGCCTTCTCTGTCCACCATGCATTTTTAATGCGATGGAGCTCTCGGGTCAGTCGCCGTCGAAGTTTGCGAAACTGACTATGCTTTCCCAAGTCACTGGGGTCTTGAGCTTTGTCAAGAATTGTTTGCATTGTTTATGGAGTGTTGCGATTTACTGATTAGGTGCTTGAGGCGCCTTCATAGTTCCTTTGCCAGATAGTAGGTGGGCGTGCCTGGAAGTCACACAATTGGTCTTAAGGGTGTTCCGACCTTGTGTACTTTAGGTAGTCCAAATAATTGTGCAATGTTCGAGTCGCGAGCCCTCATTTTTTCTTGTTCCACTTCCGATATTTCGTTCGACTTCTTAAGCTTCGCAAACACTCTGTTTATTTTGTTTGTTAGTTGCGACGTTGGGTTATTCTCAATGCATTGGTAGATATCCTCATGAAGGTAGGTCTCCTCATGAAGTCCACTGAGCAATCAGAGTCTCTGCAGTCGTTCGGATACGGGAGATGCCGCAAATCCTTGGCAATCTTCGTTGCCCGACGTCGTTAGAGTCCAGTGAGGTTGCGCTTTAACCAGCGTTGCCAATCTTGGGTAGGTTATTCTACGTCGGATGTACGTAGGCATTCAAAACCCGAGAAAAGATGGAGGAATCTACACCGTCGAGTACCGTTCGCAAGAGACGAACTACTGGTTGCCTCTTGTTATATCAAAATTTAACTGTCTGAAACAACAGGGAATAGTTAAAACGAGATGATAGGGTTATTATTCTCGGAATATCTAATCACTTAGGCATAACATGGTTTGCTACAGGCCTGGTTTGATGCGAGTTTCCAAATGAACGTTTTTAAACACACAATGGCTGCGGATGCTGACAATTGCGTTATAAATCTCGATATGCGTAGACCATTTCACCAAATTCCAAACGTTAAATTGCGGAGCGCGTTACAAATGGTTGGCATCCTGTAATCGATTGTATCTGTTGACCTCCCCGAGCAACCCACCATGAAACCTAGCAGCTAATGGATGCTAGCAACACAGTTGCAAGTACTACCTACAAGTTCAAACTTATGTGTGGATATTTTAATGCGCCACAAGTTAACCGGTTACTGCCTGGACCTACGATCTAAACGCGACTAGACGAAATGGTGTGCTCTATCCACTTCAATGGCTGCATCACATATGTCAGAGGGCCCATCGGAAATGCCAATACCCTAGATTCGGTATTCACCATGTGGATTCATTCCACTTGTACACTCATTGACAGTCCACTAACGGGCTGCGACCACAACACGGCGTTTTGTATCGTGAACATTTAGCGAACTAAGCCACTCCAGCACAAAGTTGCAACCCACCCATTACATTCACCAAATTGAGTGGAATGCATTTAAGGAACTTATCTGTACTATGAATTGGGAGTCAGCATTCTGAACCAGCA